GTTGAGTATTGAGAAATTTATTAATATCATATACTATATTGATAAATCAGAGGAAGAGAATCACAATCCTCCTCATTGATCTTCAGAAAAACTTGCACAAAATACAATACCCATTCATAGTAAAACATTCAAGAACACAGGATACCTTCTCAATATGATAAAATATACAGTTGACCCCTGAACAACATAGGTTTGAACTGCATGGGTCCACTTATACATGGATTTTTTTTTTTCAAAAATTATATACTACAATACTATACAATCTGCAACTGAATCCTTGGATGTGGAACCATGGATATGGAGGGCAAACAGTAAAGTTATACATGGATTTTCTGTGTGGAGGGTCGGTGTCCCTAACCCCCACGTTGTTCAAGGGTCAACTGTACACCTTAGTTCTAAAGAACATTTATCTTAATGAATGGAAAAACAATAGGGGCATTACCTCTAGAACAAGGCAAGAATGCCCTCTATTATCATACTAGAGGTACTAGCCAATGCAATCAGACAATCAAAAACAATAAGAGGCATAAGAGTTGATAAACAAGCAAAGCTCACTCAGTTTGCAGATGATACGGTAGTATACCTGGAAAATCCCAGAAAATAAATAATAAAATGAACTCAAAAAATGAAAGAATTCAGTGAAGTATCAAATTATAAAATCAAGATACAAAATTAATAGCTCTCATATACAGAAACTGTGAAGAGAAAACATAATGGTAGAGAAAATTTAATTTACAATGTAATATTAAATACTTAGGGAAAACCTAACAAGAATGTAGAAAACTTTTACAAAGCAAATTCTTAAACATTCCTGACATACACTAAAGTAGACTTGAACTAATCGGAAGACATCCCCTGTTCTTGGATAAGATGACAACATTATAGAGATATTAATTCCCCCAAGTTAATTTATAAGTTATAAATTCAAGGCAAAGCCAATAAAAATACCAACAAGCTAATTTTATGGAGTTGGACAAGATAATAGACAAGTACATATACCTCCCTCCCCGCACACACACATGCATACAAGAATACCTAGAAAAACACTTAAAAAGAAAAACCATGAGGGGGAACTAGTCCATCCAGACATTGAAACTTATTATAAAGCCTCTGATTTATAATTTAAACACTGTGGCATGGTGTGTGAACAAACAGACCAATAGAATAGAATAAAGTCCAAATTTAGGCCCAAGACATATGGAATTCAGTATATGACAAAGGTGAAAAATCCCTAGGGTAAAGATGTACTTTTAAAATAAATGATTCTGGGTTAATATGGAAAAAAAAAAACTTAATCTTCCCTCACACAATAACACAAAAAATCAATTCCAAGGGGTAGATCTAAATGTGTATACTAAAACAATAAAACCTATAGAAAAAAATGTGAAACATCTTCTTGCCTTCAGGGTAGGTAAATGTTTCTTACACAGGAACAGAAGAATGATGCCCATAAAGATTAGATGACATTCGGTATGTCTGGTGGTGTGTTGTGCATTTGCTTTGTGTCTGTGTGGGAAATGGTGAGGTATTATTAATATTATGGTCCCCTACCTCCAAGATCAATTCCAAAAATAATTTTATTAATCCTAAGAATGTAACTGTGGAAATAAAATGGCTTTTCAGTCCTGTGTTGCCAAAAAAAAAAAAATTAGGTGACATTAAAATTAAGAACTCATTTAATCAGAAGACACCAATTAAAACACTGAAGAGACAAGCCAGAGTGGGAAAAATTACTTGCAAAACGTATCCAGCCATAGGGCCCACATCTGGAATATATAAATCAGTAAGAAAAAGGCAGGCAACTTTAGTATCATCTGATCCAACTCCATAAAATAGCCTGTTGAAAAACAAATTTGTACAACCACTTTGGAAAATTGGCATCATCTATGAAATTTGCATCCCATGTGATCCAGTGATTTCAGTCCAGGGTATACACCCAAGAGAAATATATGCACTTATGCACTATCAGAAATACTAAAATATGCTCACAGCAGCATTATTTACAATAGCCCCAAGCTGAAAAGACAAATGTCCATCAACACAAACTGCTTAAATAAATGGAATATTCAAACAATGGAACCCAATAAAATGTATTACTGTCTAGAGGTCCTCACAAAAATACTGGGCAAATTAAGACAGACACTAAAGAACGTACACTGTGTGGCTCCATTTGCATAGGATTAAAAAACAAAAATCCAAGCCACGTTGTCAGAGTTAGAATATTAGTCACTTGTGAGGGGTAAGGAAAGGTTTGTTATGTGGACAAAGCGAGAAGGGGTTATCAGGAATGAGAGTAAAACATTTTTCTTACCTGTTTACACGGATGTGTTCATGTGATAATTTAGCTGTATGAGTTAAGCACTTTTCTGCATTTCAGTAAAACCTGTTTTAAATGTTACCACACAGGTATCATTACACAAACACTGCAGAAACAACTGTGGCATTAAGATAAAATGAACATGCACAGACTTTACAACCCAGCAATTTCACACTCCTGGAATAACTCAGCAACGCTCCAGAAGGCATGTACACAATTTCTTAAAGCAGCATTGTTCCTAACTGGGAAAAGTGGAAATAGTCCAGCAACTAACTGTACATCAGCACTAGTTAAACGAATTGTGGGATGAAAATACAAAAGAAACTACAGCCACATTCAACGTGACTCTAAAAACACCCCTACTACTAATAATCTGGACCCTGTTACATTTTACTTGAACTTTGCAATGACCTTCTAACAGGTTTCTGTTTGCATCTTGTCCCTCTATTTAGCCTATCAACCCAGAAGCCACTATGTTCCTCTAAAAACAGAAATTGAATGGCTGTCACTCCTCTGTCCAAAATTCTCCACTGACTTTCCATACTGAGAAAGAAAGGCAAAGTCCTTCCAGTTAAACCACAAGATGCTGCAGTGAACAGGACCTCAATCCAGCTCTGACCTCAACACCTTCTGCAACTCCCAAGCTTGCCTGACTCCAGTCACACTGGCCCCTCTGTCCCAAGCAAAATTCTTTTTCATTACCTTTGAACTGCCGAGGGTGCTCTTCCCCACATTACAACATGGTGCACACTGGCAGTGAATTTACATCTCTACTCAAATGTCCCCTTAAACGAAAGGCTTTCACTATCCATCCAATAGTTCCACTGAACCCCCGCATCCCTCTCATCATCACCATGCTTAAATTTCCCAGCACTGAACTGACCACCACCTGATATACAATATATTTACTCATTTGTTTATCACGTGCCTTAATCCCAAGTAGAATGTGATCACCATGAAGGCAAAAATCCTGACTCACTGCTATAGATTCAGGGCACCAAACAGGGCCTGACATAAGAGAGTATGGACTCAAAACACAGACACTACTACTTGTTAATGAGCTGACCTCACACGAGCACCCTTAAACTTCCTTGCCTCAGACTGCCCATATGCAAAAGGGAGTTACTGGTGGTACCTACTTCTTAGAGCTTTTGTGAAAACTAATACACTTATTTCAACACAAGTCAAGAAGTAATGTTTAAGTACATCAGGGATTTGAAATACAATTTAAAAACATGGTTTAAGGATTTTTAAAACCCATATCCAACAACTAAAAGTATAAGTAGATTATACCCACACATGTAGCAGCTCTCCAACCTCACTAATGACCAGATGTATGGGTTACAGATAGCATCCAGCTGGGTACAGTGGAACCCTCCTGCCACCAATAAAACAATTATTAAATAGATTAAACAATCAAATATCCAAAGTAGCTTAAACCAATAATCAGTTTTCTTTTTTCTCATGTAATAGGAAGTCTGGAAACAACAAATCCAGGACTATTGCAGACACTCAAAGAAGCCACGGGGGAAGCCAGGATCATTGTGATTTTTCTGCGGTTATCTCCCCCTTCAGCCTGTGGCTTGCATCCTCACGGTCATAAGATGCACCTTTAACACAAGATACTGAATCTCTTTTCAAGGTAAGAAGTAATGAGAAGAGCAAGGAAAAAAAAATGTAGAGAAGAATCTAGGCAAGAATGACTCTTTTTCAAAAGCTTTTTTACAGCCCATACAGTGATATGTGCTTATTTGTCAATGGCCAGGCTGTCGACATGGACTGTACTAGCTGTAGGAAAACCTGTAAGAGATTTTTAAAAATAGCACACCTTACTAATCAGACAAAACTTGGACTTTCTTGATATAAAAGAATATGAGATACTGAAGGAGCAACTATATGTTACTCTTGGCTGGATGGGAGGCCAAAAACATTCCAAAGGATCAATCTAATGAAGACATCCTGCTCTGATCACAACTGCATTTGAATTAGATACTTGTAACAAACAGGTACTAAAAATACCCACATGTTACACAGCATATAACACTATTCTAAAAAATTCCATCGGTCAAGTAAGTTGTCCAAAAGGAAATGAAGACATATCGAGAATGAAATTCTAGTAAAAATACTATATACAAACCTTCTGTGATGGGGCATAAGGGTTATTTGGAAGAGCATAATCTTAAAATTAAAGACTTAAAAATTCATGAGCTGGGGTCCACTTTCATGATGAAAGACTGATAAGTGCAATTCCACATTTACTAAGAAATCCCACTGGGGAGTGAATTCTCATATGCACAAGTGACAGGGCTGTGGATGAAATTATCTCCACATAGGGATTGTCTGCAGTGTGGGTTCTCATGTGTTTCCTGAAAGAATTACACAGATTATAATTTTGAAGTTTTAAATAGAAATTTCTCCTAGTGTGAGTACCCACGTGTTTCATAAAAAATGGAGGGATTGTTGGCTAAGGTTTCTCAACCTCAACAATACTGACATTTTGGGGCACATAATTTCTCTCTCTTGGGGGAAGCCTCCTGTCCACTGCAGGATATTTAACAGCATCCCCGATGTTTCCCAAAACATTCCAGTGGCACCTCCCCAGCTTTGACAACCAAAAATGTCTCCAGACATTGCCAAGTGTCTCCCAGGGAGCAGAGTTATCCCCAGTTGAGAACCACTGCTGTAGACCAAGGACTGGCAATTTTTTTCTGTAAAGGGCCAGACAGTATTTTAAACTTTGTTGGGCACACATGATCTCTAGCACATATTTTTCTTCTTAAAAATGCAACAAATATTCTCAGCTTGCCAGCTGTACAAAAACAGACAGCTGGCCATAGTTTGCCCACCCGTTACCGACTTTCCCATGTTCCTTATTTCATAGGTTTTTCTCTTCAGTGTGATTTCTCTCATGAGGAATACAGTGAGACCAGGAAAGGTCTGTCCAGTCTTGGAATTTACAGAGATCCTCCCTGGTGGGCTTACTCTTGTGCCAAGGAGGTACAAGGTGATGCTAAAGTCATTTTGACATTAAATATCAGACTAGGGTTTCTCCCCCTAAGTTCTTGTTTGTTGAGAGCTAAACGTACACTGACGGCTTCTTCACACCACAAACACGTTTTCTCAACTATCTTGAGTTCTCACACTATCTCCAAAGTGATGTGGAAAAACCCAAGTCTTTCCACAGTTATTACACAAATTGGATTTCTCCCAAGTTAACACATATTCTTTTGTGCCCAGTGAGATGAGTTCATCAAGGCTTCCTGCCTTCCTTACACCTGCCAGGTCTGCGCTCTCATGTTTCTCTTTAAAGAGATGTGTCACTGGAGCCTTTTCCACACTGACGATGTGAAGAGCTTCTCTCCCCGGTGTGTCTTCACGTGACTCCTGAGGGATGAGTGATCACTGAAGGCTTTCCCGCAGACCAGGCACTCGTAGGGCTTCTCCCCAGTGTGTATCCTCCGGTGCACATTAAGGTTCGAGCAGATGCTAAAGGCTTTCCCACAGTGATCACACTCATAAGGCTTCTCTCCTGTGTGACTCCTCATGTGTGTCTTAAGGGTCGACTGGTTTCTGAAGGCCCTCCCACACTGTCTGCATTCAACATGCTTCTTTACGAGATGAATGCTCATGTGCCTCCTCCGCGATAAATAATCACCAAAGACCTTACCGCAGGTGGCACACTCGTATCGCCTCTCTTGAGTGTGTATTTTTCTGTGCGCAGTTAGGTTGGAGCTTGCACTGAAGGCTTTCCCACAGAGATCGCACCCATATGGTTTCTCTCCAGTGTGGGAATTCATGTGTGTCTTAAGGATGGACTGGTTTCTGAAGGCTTTCCCACACTGTCTACATTCAACAGGTTTCTTTACAATGTGAATTCTCATGTGTTTTCTCCGTGAGAGGAGGTCCCCAAAGGATTTCCCGCACTCTTTACACTCGTATGTTTTCTCTACCATGTGGTTCTTCTTGTGCAAGTTAAAGTTGGACTTCCATCGGAAGGCTTTTCCACACTGTGTGCATTCGTAGGGTTTCTCTCCAGTGTGGTTCCTGACGTGCTCTTTGAGATGTGAGGGATGCTGGAAAGCTTTCCCACAGTCGTGACATTCGTAGGGTCTCTCTCCAGTGTGTGTTCTTCTGTGTGCAATGAGATGGCAGCTCCTGCCATATGCCTTCCCACATTCATCACACTTATAAGGTCTCTCCCCAGTGTGAACTCTCATGTGTATCTTCAGTGAGGAGAGGGTTCGGAATGCATTTCCACACTGACTGCAGTCAAAGGGCTTCTCTGTGAGGTGAGTTCTTGCATGACTCCTAAGAGCTGAGGGGTCATTGAAAGCTTTCCCACAGGCACTGCACTCATAGGGTTTCTCCCCAGTATGTATTCTCCTGTGCCGTGTAAGGGAAGCACTCGTGGTGAAGGCTTTTTGGCACTGATGACATTCATGCATTTTCCTCCCATTGTAAATGTTCACATGTTGGGTTACATGAGATCTGTTCTTGAAAGTCACCCCACAGTCCCGGCGGTGATAAGGCCTCTTGCTAGTGTGCCTTCCCATTTGCTGAGTAAGATGAGCACCCATGCTGAAGACGTCAAACAGGTTAGCATAGTCACTGGATTTCTCTCCAAGCCGACTGCTTTCCTGTTGATGAAGAGGGAGGGTTGACTCAGGCATTTCCCATATTCATTAAATTCCTTAGACTATCCCTACATAAACTGGCATAAATAGAAGCGCATCATTATGACTAATGATGTCATAATTTGCAGTGCAAAAGTACTGCTCCTGCCTCATTTGGACTCCATCAAAGAAAACAAGTGAATGCTATGCTCTGAGGCTCCATGTGTATAACTTTCACAATGATTTTTACGTATTCTTTGTTAACTGTTTAAAACTCAATTAAGCCCCAACATCTGAGACATAGTTATAGAAATATTTACTCACTGGAACTTTAAGTGAAGAGGTTTGGGGTCAGGTTTTAGGGTTTTCCCCAAATCGGTAATATTCAGTGTCTCTGACACTGTTTCCTCTTGGGGACCTGCCTGGTTTTGAACTGCTTTTCTAACTCAGGCTGCCCCTGTCCTCTCACAATATGGAAGATCCAGAATTATCCCAAGGAAATCTTACCATTGTCACACCATGAGATGTTTCCTTCCCAAAAATATCTTCCATAAGAATTGACCATTTGGTTTTAGATGGAGTCTCCCAATCTGAAACAAATTGGGAAAATATTAACTTGCTGGAGAAAGAAAATGGTGGGATGATGGTGACAAAAACAGAGGTGGCTTTCTTTGCAAATATTAACCCTAAAGAAGGAAAGGGAATATGAAAGGGGAGAACACACATGAGTAAAAATGACTGAAAAATCTGGTTATGTGAGATATTTGGCAATGACAAGGGTAGAAATTTAAGCTGACTCACTAAGAAGCACCTCTTCAAAGAATGACATTGATAATGACATTAAGAGTGAGATCAGGAATGTTGAGTAGGAAAGAATGGGACGAAGAACCCATTTGGACACATGTCGAATTTAAAGAAGAAGGGACATGGAGACCAAAAGAATTGTGAGAGGATGGAGGGACAGTGAAAGAGAAAGAGCATTTTCAGATTTCCCTGGGTGACGTTTCCTCATGGATCTCTGTCATCCCAATCACTGGAGAGAGCAGATTCTCAAAAGCACTTGTGTCTGCCTGGTGCTTACCGGGACAAGGGCCTTGGTGAAGTTCCTGCTCCTCTGTCCTCAGCTCCTCTTCTTGCTCCAAGTGGGAGATGAGGCTGGGTTTGCTCACCTGACACCCTACTCACGGGGAAAGACACATGTTGAGGGAGGATCGTGCAGAGGACAACCCCTTCCATTAGTCTGGGGTCAGTGTTTTGGTCTTCAGTGCTCTGAAGATGGACAAGTCTGACTTAGGAGCAGCAAAATGATGGTGCCACATTTCTAAGGAACACAGTGAAAGGCTTTCATAAAACACAAAACCACAAATACCCACACATTTTGCCCTTCAAAAGAATGAGGATTTTGTTTTTCTTTTTGGCCGTGGCGCATGGCTTGTAGGATCTTACTTCTCCGACCGGGGTTGAACCCGTGCCCTTGGCAGTGAAAGCTCAGAGTTCTAACCACTGGACTGCCAGGGTTGAGGACGTCTTAACTCAGAAAGCTATGCCCAAGCTCAGACACACTTGACAACCTCCAAGGGCAATACAATGGACAGGTCTCAATAGCCAAGGTACCATCAAGGCAGGCACCAGGTCGGCTTGTTCATAACTGTGTTCCGAATCCCCACACAGTTCCTGGGTCACAGCAAGTACTTACAACAAAAACATTTCATTCATGAATGAATAAATGAAGAAATGCTGCCAGCCTTACCCACTGAGGCAAGGTTGCTATAGTTCTCCAGCATCACATCTTTGTACAGTTTTCTCTGAGAAGAATCCAGCAAGGGCCACTCCTTCTCAGTGAAGTCCACGGCAACATCCTGGAAAGTCACTGATTTCTGTAACACCACACACATTTGGGGTCGGTGAGAACCCAGCCTGTATGTGTTCCAAGATGGCTGAGGCTAAAGATTACACAGGAGAGACTCTAAACACAGGATTTTCAATATGGGGATCTGGGGTCTAAACATTTACTCTAGAAGTCACTCAGATGTCTTCTCTTCCAATGAGAAATCTCATGAGATAATCTCATTGCTTCAAACGCAACTCTGACATGGGATCAAACCTACTTCCACTCCAAACCTGGCCTGAGAGCTTTGAGCTATACTATGAGAGAAACACCTGTTACATAAGTCATTTCCCCTAACATCCCTGATACCAGGACAGCCTCACCAACTTCTCCCGCTCTTCCTCTTGCACCCTGATCATGCATTGATCAGCCTGGATAAAGATCTAAAAGAATCCTAACATGTGATGTTGCGGGCATTCTAGGGAAGTGCCTCCTCCACCCTCAGGGGCCTTGAGATCTTGGTGTACCTGGGAACCAACATTGGTTGATGTATGAGGCTCCAGGCCATTGTATGCAAACAGCTCCACATCCTGGGGACAGGAATGGTCTTTTGAAGAAAGAGGAATTTCTGACTCATGGACATAGGCAGGCTCCTGGTTGGACATAGCTAGAGAAAAGAGGACCCATGAGGATTAAAGCCCACCTGACATTCGCAGATCAGGAAACAGTCTCACACTAACGATATGTGTGCAGTGCACATGCCCCAATCTCACATTCCCTCACACACTCACTCACACACACTGTTGTGCAACAAGCCAGAGAAGCCCTGCTCTACTCAAGGACAGGAAAAAGGGTGGTGGGCCTACACAGCCATAAAGATAATGATATATATTCTCAATTTATGGGTAAAGAAATAGAAGCTCTGAGATAGAGCTGTTACTTCATCCAGACTTATCAAAATAATAAATGGGATGCTGCAGGGTTACCAATGACCAGTATCCCTCCTTACACAGCAACTACAAACACTCCCTGCCTCACCCAAACTCACAAAGACCCTGAATCAGACACAGTCACCTGGGGAGCTCTCAAGACTTCACTCACTCCCACCCCCGTTCAGTTCATGTATCCTCCTCCACTTCTAACCTGGCAGCCCTCCCACTAGCTGTGCACATCCTCGCCCTCAGTGAAGGGGCAGGGGCCACTGGCCACTGAAGCTTGATTTCTGAGGGCATTCATCACCCGAAGAACTTACCACATGTGGGAGACAGACCAAGAGCTGCCATCCTCCGAGAATGATAGTAAATTTGCCTGAATGAAAGCAGGGCACTGGCACCAGAAAGCTACTCTCTCGCTCTCATGGGACTCTTGGAGCAGGCATCTGTAGTAAATGAGAAAAAGACTACTAGGTGTAGCCAAAGGCTTTCTGTCTCTCCCACTAACAGGACAATTCTGACTTTTGTTTTTCAGTGTTTCCTCTTTGGAGCAGCCTGTCTCAGCTTGGGCCTTAACCCTGCTTAGGTAAAACCTCCAGGCAATGTGGCAGAGGTCCCTGACCTACCTCAAGAAAGATTCAGATTCACTCTCTCAAGTAATTTGTCCCCAGTTACAATTCTGTTAAACTCTGTCACTCATTGAACACTTGGGCCCCAGACTTCTTCAACTTCAAGGCATAGTCCTCCTGGCTTAGGATGGCTCCAGCTTCTATGAGGACTGGTCCATCTGGACCATGTGTTCTGATCACCAATGCCTTTTGGCCCCCCACTCCACACCAACATACACACCTGTGGGCCACAGCCCAGGCCTTGCCATCACCAGAATCAGATTCACTTCACAAACAATGATTCAGAAATTTGCCCTCTGGACAAAACCTCCTACACAACATTCTTCTCACTTAAACTCTACCACTTAGAGGGGATTCCAGGCCACCCAGGCTTCTACCACCTTGCTCCCTAACAGCAAATTCTTCTTCACTGCCCCACCTATTCAGCTGAGAGATCCATCATGTTCCATCACTTCTACAAATTTTTGTCCAAATTCCTTTAATCCTTTACCTAGTATACCCTCAATGAGCAAAAGACCAGTCTGGGATGATTCCAACCATCTGTTTCCTCCCTGAAGGTACCTGGAAAGACCAGTCCGCACACACCCAGTCACACTAGCAGCTTTCAAAACAGTCACTAACCTTGAAGAAGCATCTATACTAAAGAAGCATAAGTGGTAACCCAATCTCCCCAAAACCATGTAAAAATCTCACCAGTTTTTCTAAACCCCAAACTGTCTTACATGACCCTTGCTTTCAGCAAATAATCTTGCATTTCATTTCACAGTAATCACAACAAAAAAAAAAACATAACTCAGCAAAGAACTGGAAAATGAAACTTAAAAAATACTTTCATTTATAATAGCATAAAACATATAAGGCACATAGGAATAAACAAATAAAAGCTGTGAGACCATGCTGGAAGAAATAAAAAACCTAAATAAGTGAGGAGCTATATCACTTTCATGGGCTGCAAGAGTCGATATTATTAAGGTATTCACTCTCCCCAAATTCATCTGCAGATACAACGCAGTCATCACCAAAATCTCAGCAGGTTATGTTCTAGACATTGACAAACCAAATCTAAAATGGGTACCAAAATGCAGAAGATCTAGAAGAGCCAGAACAATGTTAAGAAAGAAAAATAAACTTAGAAGATTCCTATTACTAACTTTACTACAGTAATGAAGAACTGTTGGAATAAGTATAGACAAAAAGGTCAATGGAACAAAACAAAAATAGACCTACATGTGCATAGTCAAATGATTTTCAATAAGGGAATAAAGAAATTCATTAGGGAAAGTGGTCTTTTTAATAAATAGTGCTGAGACAGCACCCTTCTATAGTTGATAGATGGGATGCTGCCCAATTCATAAATCGCCTAAGAAAGCCAATTAGATCTTCAAATTAGGAAAAAAACAAGGTGCTGCAAGAACTTAATGGACAAAAAGGAACTTTGACCTCCATTATCACTGCATACACAAAAATTTGAATTAAAAAAATCCTTTTTGAGATAACTCAGACACCAAAAAGTAAAATCCAGAGAACACTTTAACAACATTGAGTTACACAACATTTTAGACTAGACACAAATGAAACTAAACATTAAAAAAAATCAATAATTAAGACTTTACCAAAATTAAAAATTTTTAGTCATCAAATCACATTATTAAGAAAATAGGGGCTTCCCTGATGGCACAGTGGTTAAGAATCCGCCTGCCAATGCAGGGAACATGGGTTTTAGCCCTAGTCCAGGAAGATCCCACATGCTGCGGAGCAACTAAGCCCGTGTGCCACAACTACTGAGCCTGAGCTCTACAGCCCGCAAGCCACACTACTGAGTCCACGTGCCACAACTACTGAAGCCTACATACCTAGAGCCCATGCTCCGCAACAAGAGAAGCCATGACAATGAGAAGCCTGGGCACCACCGCCGCAACTAGAGAAAGCCCGCGCACAGCAACGAAGACCCAAAACAGCCAAAAATAAATAAATAAATAAGTTTATTTTTTTTAAAAAAGAAAGAAAATAAATAGGCAAGCCACAGATTGGGGAAAAAAGATATTTGTAGTACGTACACCTGACAAAGAATTCACATTCAGACTACATAAAGAACTCCTACAAAACAATAATAATAAAAAATTTAAAAAAACTCAACAAGGGCTACACTTAGACACTTCACAAAATTAAATGAGTGAGGAACAATAAGCATGACAAGTTACTCAAAATCATTAGTCATCAAATGGATGCAAATTAAAACTAATGGTATAACATTTTAACCCACCAGAGCAGCCAAAATTAAAAGACTATAAACACTAAATGGTGGCAAGGATACAGCATACCCAAAACTCTCACATACTAAAGGTGGGGGTGTGAAATGGTTCAATCACTTTGGAAAACAATGCGCCAGTTTCTTAAAAAGTATACCTATCATTTGACTCAGCAATTCCACTCCTAGATATTTACCCAAGAGAAAAATTTTAAAACATGTCCACAAAGATTCATATAAAAATGGTCATAGCAATCTGATTCTTAATAGCCCCAAAGTGTAAGCAATCTAAATATCCATCAACAAAAGAATGAATAAGCAAACTGTGGTATGTAGAGTGGAATACTACTCATCAACGAAAAGAAACTACTGAGACACACAACATGGATGAACTTCTATAATGCTGACCAACAGAAGCGAGACAAAAAAAAAGCTCTATAACTCCTATTACACAAATAGGTGAAATTTATTAAGGTCGATAGCAAAATGTGTTTATTTAAGTCAATAGAAGGAAAAAAGTTGGTCGCCTCCTTGCAGGAATATGATATGGTGGTAGAATGAGAAGCAAGAGGGAACTTTCTGGGGCAACTGAAATATTTTATTATTTTTTTCAGTTAGTGGCTATACAATGTACACCGTGTCAAAAAATTCATCAAACTGATCATCTGAGATATGTGCATTTTCTTGAACGTAAATTATACTCTACTTTAAAAAAGTTAAGTGGAGTCTTTCTTACTTTCATGTCTCTGGTTACACAAAAATTCCTCCCACAACTGACCTATGACTCCTATTACCAGTAAGATGTCTGCCCTCCCTCCCTTCTAAAGCCAACCTTTTCAGATCTGCCTCAGCTACACTTAGTCCTCCCTCCAGAGCAAAAGCTTATAAAGACAGTCCACACTATCTCCCTAATTCAGTGTACCTAATGTCAATTACCATCATCTCCATCTTCACAGAAAATACAATTACTCCTGTGTCCTGTGTCAGTGGAATCCAGTAAGTGCATTTCAGTCTTAGATCCTCAGCAAAATTTGGTGTCTATTTTCTTCGAGAATCATTCTCTTTCTAGGCTTCTATATAACTCTCTCCCTAGTTCTCTCTCTACTTCTCGATACTCTGTCAAGGTTTCTTCAGAAGGTCTCCTTCTACCATTAAAGGCTGGATTTGCTCAAGAATCAGCCCTTACCCTACTGCTCTTCATACTCTGTGCTTTGCCAAGGCTTCCCTTAATGTCCCTTAATTTTCATCTCTAACACTCAAGGTCCAATATGAATTCAAAATCATATTCTCACTGCCTACTAACAGCCACCAAAGAACATCTCATACAAAAGCCTGTTGAGCCTGTGTTTCTGGGCTCAACGAAGAGAATCAGTAGCCAGCCCTCTGGCCGCTCACAAGAGGGAGGTGAGGTATGGGAATGTATGTATGCATATAGCCGATTCACTTTGTTATACAGCAGAAACCAACACAACATTGTAAAGCAATTATACTCCAATAAAGATGAGGGGGAAAAAAGCGCTACAACTTAACTGCTCCATTCCATGGCTCTAATCACTTACAAACTAAAGAAAAATCCACACAACCTTCTTCACATTAAAAATTTAAGTTATTATTTTCATATGAAAAAACTTGGCTTTCTCTGTTAGCTGACTCTCTTTCTCCTACAAAACCTGTCACAATGTATTTTTATGTTTTTACTCCCTTGTTTTTATTTCCTTGTTTTATACTCTGTTTCCTAAACTATATAGTAAACTAGAAGAGTACACCACTGTACTCAGGTCCTAATCCACTACCCAATATTAAATAGAAAATGAAGGGGGGTGGGGGCAGAAAAGGTCAATGAATAGAGAACAGACTGGTGGTTGCCAAGGGGGAGGGGTTTGGGGGAAGGATAGAGTGGGAGTTTGGGGTTAGCAAATGTAACCTTTTATATACAGAATGGATAAACAACAAGGTTCCACTGTATAGCACAGAGAACTATATTCAATACCCTATGATAAACCATAATGGAAAAGAATGATAAAGTATATACATGTATAACTGAATCACTTTGCTGTACAGCAGTAATAAACACAAAATGATAAATTAATTATACTTCAATAATAAAATTAAGTAGATGTTTTAAAACTCTTGAAAAAAAAGTCAATGAATTCTACCTCTTACACCACATGTCTCCAAATCATTTAACTTTCTCCAATTCAACACCCAGCAATAGAGTCTGGATCATATATGCTGGACCATAAAAAAGTCTCAAATTTAAAAAGACAGCAAATGTACTAGATTTGAAATTAATAACAGTAAGATATCTAGAAAATACTCAAATATTTGGAAGTTAAAGACAAATAATTTTATGTAGAGGATGAAACAAAGGAAATTTAATAAATATTTTATACTACATGAAAATACAACAAATAAAAACTTGTGAAATGAGGTTAAAATCATTCTCAGAATGCAATGTATACAGTTAAATGTCTACATTAAAAAGTGGACAAGCTCAGTGAAAATCAATGAACTACACTTACGAAAAAAAGAAAATTAAAGTTTTCCAGAATAAGCCATAAATTAGGCC